ACATAATTCTCATGGCCAGAAGTGAAAGCTAAGCTAGGCCCTCAGCCCCCAAAACATGACTCCTGCAGCTAAATAAGATGAATTTTCAGACTCAGTTACATCAGGTTTCCTTGTTCTTCAGGATATTGCTATTCTTGTCAAATTCCACAGCACTTAGCACAAATGAAAAATAAAATTGAAGGAAAGGAAGATTTATTTTAAGAGGAAAGAGCAGCCAGCTGTCTGCTCTTTATTCTAGACCAGTCATTCTTTCTTCCTTGTCTAGGGAATGGTAATACAGCATGTAGGGCAGGAGGTACTGGAGCAACATGCCTGAGGAGGAGCAGCAGCAGCACAGTCACTGACAAAGCAGCAGGTATACTGGAGGGCAGCCAAGTTCCTGAGGATGGTCAAATGGTAGAAAAAGCCCACCCAAACAGGCCCAACCTCTCTACTTGTATACATCTTCAAATGTACTTACTGATGAAGACACTAGAACAGCAGCTGCACCTGGCTATGGCGGCTCAAAATATACCAATACATAATTCAAAAGTCTAGAGGGAGCAATAATTAATACGCCCTAGGTTACATATATGTCCTGAAGGTTTTATTTTCGGGCTCTGGCTTTTTATTATTAAGAAAAAAAAATACACAACTACATATCAAATAATTCACAGATACGTTCTGCATGGGCGAAGGATTTTTCTAAACATAAAACCAGTGCCCAAGCTTAAGTTCTCGCATCATTTTCTGGTTTTGTTTTCTGTTGGTGGTGGTGGTGTTTTTTAAGACAGGGTCTTCCTATAGCTCCAGTTGGCCTGGAACTCACTGTATGGCCAGCATGGACACCATCTCACAGATTTGCCTGTCTCTGCCTGGATTAGAATGCTGAGATTAAAGGTGTGCAGCACCACAGCCAACTCTTGTCATTTTCTGAAAAGACATATAGCAAACAGTCAATTTACTGATGGAATAAATCCTTCTTAGGTTAGAAACATGAAAAAACAAAAAACAAAGAAACAAAAAAACCTTTCAATTTCTTGCACTCAAGACACAAAAAAAGTATAGGTACTGAGGCTAGAGAGATGGCTCAGCAGTCAAATGCACTGGCTGTTCTTGCAGAAGACTGGGGTTCAAATCCCAGCACCACATGGTGACTAACAACCGTTCCAGAGGAGTGGACACCCTCGTCTGACCTCTGAGGGCATTGCACAACAGGGGTGTACTTACACACATGCAGGCAATATACTCATACACATAAAATAAAAACAAATTCAAAAAAAAATTTTTTTTTTGTCTTTTTGAGACAGGGTCTCCCCGCAGTCCCAGCTAACCTGAACTCCTATGTAGACCAGGCTGACCTTGAACTCACAAAGATCCGCCTGCCTCTGCCTCCCAAGTACTGAGACTAAAGGTGTAAACTATAGGTGTTGCTTGATTCTGCAGGTCATTTTTAGAGGAACAATTTGCATAGAGCTTTAAAGGCAGACCCAACTTCCCAATTTTCTATAGTATTGACATCATAGACCTGGGCCCTTAAGCAACTTTTGACAGAAATTAGGGTTTAAATGTTTTACTTAAAATGTGTTTCAGTTGTTCATATGATTCTATAAAGGGTTTTGTGTTCTGTCCTCCCCACACACACCCACATTCCCCACCATGCTGGGGAGGGGCACACACTGATCCATGTATGTATGTATGTGTGTGTGTGTGTGTGTGTGTGTGTGTGTGTGTGTGTGTGTGTGTGTGCGTGCGTGCGCAAGGTAAGAACTCTACCACTAAACAACATCCTCAACCCCAACACTGAAAACAGGCAGAGGAAGCAGCATTCACCAAATATTTTTAAAATAAAGACTGCACATCCTAACACATGAAAGTAGCCCAAAATTAGAGCAAACTTAAGACTATCCCTAGTGCGCTGTGTCCAAATTGCGTTAATTTTACATGAGAAGTTTTTTAACAGATGGCATATAAAGGGAAGGAACCAAATGCACATACAAGATAGGCAGTTACTGACCAGTAACTAAGAACTCATACTTCAGTTTAGGAAAGGATAGAGAAAGGCATTTTTGTGGTTCCGTTCTGCTTTTCCCTAACCATGATTATAAAGAATATGTTGTAGGCAGAGAGGGCTTCTATTGTGTCAATAAAACTAAATGAAAACAAAAACAAAAACAAAAAACCTAAATAGTAATCTTTTTTTGCCTGGACAGCGTATACTGCATTTCAACCCTGGAGGCATGAACCATCTCATCTCTTCCAAAGTACAGGAAAGGCCTGAGGGTCATGGGTCTAATAACAGGTTCTCCCTGCCACCTCTGATTCTGAGTTTGGAAAGATAAAATCCAGGAATTGTGCAGAAAACCATACCAGGAAATGGGGAGCAAGTGGGTTTAGGACACAGATACATGGGTAACTAGAACATGAAACTATTGACAGTCAGACTTCTTGAGCAAACCAAATAGACACCAACCCTTATACATTTTCTGAGAGATATTTTAGGCATGAGAGTCTGCAGGCTTCATCTAACCCATACATACAAAACAAATGAATTCTACCACCATCCAAAATTTTTTAATTACTTATTGTGTTATAAGAGGTTATAGGAAACTGGAACTCAGAGCTCACTTTCTCGTTTTAAACTTTATTCTTTTTATTGAATTTTTATAATTTTCATACAATATAGTTTGATGGTGTACTTTTTAAAAGATTCTTTCTTTTTACCGATTTATCCACAATGAAACAAAATGAATACGTGATAATGAATTTTGCTCAAGGTCAATGAAGATTTTGTATGCTTTCTCAAATATACATGCTCACAAGTATGTATATCTGTGTATAGAGGAAAGACAAGAGAAGAGATTTCTTTTTTAAAAACTTTATACATGTATATAGTGGGGGCTGTAAATGTGAAGGTCAGAAGACAACTCTGTAGAGTCAGTTCTCTCTTTACACTTTTACATGGGTCCTGGAGAATCAAACTCAGGACA